TATTGGATTCACGGCGAAGGTGGGAAAAGTTAGAATATCTTGTTCATTGGTGCGGCTATGACATTAATGAGCGAACGTGAGAGCCAGCTGAAAATCTTGCGAATGCGCCACAAAAGGTACAGGAGTTTCATCAACGACATCCTGATAAACCTAAATCAATTCAATGATAGCTTCTTTCTGAAGCTTGTTCTCCCAACAATATAAGAAAAGGGGAGAGCGCCAACAAAATTCGTAGTTGATGTAGTTATTTTTTCCAAGATAGATCGTAGTTTGATCTTTTGATATGGATAGCCAAGAGATAGATACTATGCCAGTCAGAGTATCGCAACCGAGTAGCTCACGAAGGTGACCCTGAGATGAAGAACTACATGTACCACAACGACGACGAAGGATACTGAGTAACCGATCATTGGTGATTGTATTTGAGATCGAGCCTGCTTACGATGGTCAGCCAGAAGGCGTGTTTGCAGGACAATTTCACAATGAGGACATAGAAGTTCATGCTTGGTCAGAAGTCGAAGGCGTGGGCCACTACCGTTGGCTTCAAGGATCGATGAATCATTTGCCTCGTGAACAACAGTTGGAGTTCATAGTAGAAGTTATGCGACAGATCTTCATTTTCTTGCGTTGGTACTGATCAACAACATTGCTTCTCAGAGACCTCAAAGCTAAAGGAGGGGGTGATGTTAGGGACATATTCCTTAGAACTTTCTAGAAGAGAAGCCTCTAGAACCTTTTAGAGAGAAGTTTCTAGAAGCTTCTAGAAAGGAAGTCTCTGGAACCTTATAGAAGAGAAGTTTCTAGAAGCTTCTAGAAAGGAAGCCCTTGGAACTTTCTAGAAGCTTCCTAGTTAATAGAAGTAGCTCGAGAAGTTTCTAGAACCTTCTAGAAAGGAAGCCTCTGGAACCTTCTACAAGCTTTTTAGTTAATAGAAGTAGCTCGAGAAGCTTCTTAGTTAATAGAAGTAGCTCGAGAAGCTTCCTAAGTAGGAGTATATATAAGAATCGAAGCTGAAGAGTTCTTCAGTCTCGACAACACATCTCTTGGAGTTCTAGCTCACCTTTCTGGTGTTGTTCTTGTACTCATCTGTTTAATCTAGTTCTGCCACTTCTTCTTGAACTTCTTGTTAGATTTCAAGTCTGTATTTTGTCTCCGTGACATCTATAAGTCTTATATGTGGTATGTAACAACAAACAAATACACAACGTTGAATTTTAAGAGATATTTATTCTTTCATCTATTTAAAGCCTATTTGTTTTATAACAGCTATTGTGGCTCATTACAATTGGAACATTTATCATCTCAATGTCATCACCATATTTTTAAATGAAAAATTTATCAATATTGTTTATATATTCTAACTCTAAGGTTATATTATCTTTAGCCAAAAATACTTAATTTTCCATCTTTTACTGTCCATGTATAGACTTTGTCAAAGCCAAAGTAAGTAGAAGTCACTTTTATCTAAGAAATTCATACCTCTTCTATGGATACAATAAAATATTAAGGTCTTGTAGGACAACTTTTCTACCTAACAAAGATACATTTTGATTTTGATTTTTTAATATCCATCATAAGTTGGTACATGCATAACCACCAAAAATTCTATTGTAAAGCTATACAACAAATTAAGAATTACCTTTAAAAACTTCTATCCCATTGACTTTGATTCTTGCATCTAGAGGAGAATCTTCTTAAAGGATTTTCAAATCCAAATTATAGAGGCAATTTGGACAACCAAATTTTTACTAAAACATATTTATTTACTTGTAGCTCTAAACCTATACCTTAGTACTCCAAAAATTAGAATTTAATATCAAGATCTTTTTACAAATTTGACTATTAAGCTCTTACAAAATGGATGTTTTGAGGTGTTTGGTTAAAGGAATTAATCGTTGAATTAGGAATTAGAAGAAAGAAACCTATGACAATTTGGTGTAACAATCAAAGTAATATTAAAATATTAAAAAACCTAATATTTTATAATAATATAAAGTATTTTGAAATAGATTGGTATTTCACAAAATATAAATTTGAAGATAAGATAATAATAATATAATTTATTAAAACAATAGTTCTTTTTGTAAATATTTTAACCAAGGCTCTAAGTAGAATCAAATTTAAGAATTGCAAATTGAAGCTTAGCCTCAAGTATCTTGAGAAAACTAACAAACCTACTTAAACTAGTCTATAACTATTCTCTACATCTTTCAAAGTTAAAAAATTCTTAAATTATGTTTAGTTATACTCATCAATTTGTCTATTATAATCTTTGTAACTAATATAGTTCTTAGGTTAAAAATTAAAAAAATATATATATAGGAGTTAAAGGATTTTTTTATTAAAAAAATATATAAATAAAAAAATAAAAATAACTTGATTATCTAAAAATCCTTGTTTTATCACTAAAATTATAACTAAAGCTTTTTTTTGGTATCAATAATTCTTGATTATCATTGATAGCATCATCCATATAAGATATAATATTTAGTGTTAAATGAATAAAACTTTGTAAAAAAACATATAATAAAAAAAGATACAACATTTTCTTAAGATGCACAAAAATAATAAGACAAAAAACTAATGAAAAGACAAAAAACTAATGAAAAGACAAAAAACTAATGAAAAGACAAAATCATGTACATAGATCTTGAATACTCCATATTTATCTAACTTCTATTTTTAAATATTTAAGTATATAAATAATAAACTTATAAAAATTGAAATTAATTATAAAAAAATTGTTGTACAAGAAAAAAGGGTATAGAAGAAATAGTATAGAGAGGGTATTAAAAGATGACAAATACCTTCATTCATCTACAAATCCAAGTAGTTCATCTTTTAACAAGTGACTCCTATATCAATATATCATGCTACATGTAAATCTCAATCCATTTTGTTTATAATTACTTTGTATATTTTCAAATGTATTCAATGTATTTAATAAAAAAAATATAGAAAAATAATATTCTATTCTATTTATTAAATATTCAATTTTTTTATTTTATTTTATCTTTATTTTTGAACTTTAAAACATCAAAACAAAGCCTTCATGTGCCAAAAAATAGTCTAGGATTTGGCTCACAATGTTGATGTTAAACAAATAATCAGTAATCTAAATAAAAATAAGAATAAAAAAATTATTCAAAAGTTTTTTAATTAAGTTGTACAATGACTTATTTTTTAAAATTTCCATTATATTCAAGGTCCCAATTCAACATGCATGCTATAAATGTCATCTTAAGAAAAGAATTGCAAAGAACCACATCTTTTGTTTAAAATAAAATGATTACTACTTTGTTGCATATTAAACAGCTTCTATTTTTATTTTATATAAAATCATATAGTTAGCAAATGTTTCTTCCTTTATGACATGAAATGATGAATTTTAAACCATATCCTTAATTTTAAACCAAGGTAATGAAATCAAAAAATTTATGAATGTGGATGGAATTTAAATAATATTGGTATATTTATAAATGGCATTTTACTACTCTATTTTAAATAATCATGGTAACCACCACTTATCATATTATTCCAAGGCAACTCTAAGGTGGTCGAATTTTATATCTTTTTTCTAAACAATATCTATAACTTTATTAATAAACATAGGCTATCAAGTATAAAACATCCTTATACTATCAAACTTTGGAGAGCAATTTTAATAGTTAGTGTTTCTGGAAGATTTCTATACACTAAAATTGTGTTAGAATATAAGAGCTATAGGAAAATTAAAAACATAATAAACCAACAAAAATTTCATTGTAGATCATGTATATATGTTGATAGAAAGAAGATTGATGACCTAAGACCAATCTATTTCATAACCATGATAAAAGTATAAATTAGAGTGTAATAAGATTAATTGATGAAATATATGAAATTACTTTGATTATAGAATAAAAAATTTATACTTCTAATTCCCAATTTAGAACTTACAACAAACTTATTACTAAAAAGCAATTAATATCAATATCAATAGATAAGATACGGATGTCTTAACAGAGTTGGGTTTTGTTGGAAGCATTGAATTTTGCCATTAGCATCAAATCAATTTGCTTAGCACTTTGACCTTTTTGGTATTGCACATATCAAAATTAAAAAAAAACATCCAATTTACTTCGAAAATTATATTTTTTTGCATGAAGTACTATAATATTTATAATAATGATAACTATTGATAGTGGTTACAAAACACACTTCATTATTATAGCAAAAAAATGCACTATTCTTGTCAAATATCACTTATTTTAAATAAATGAATAACAATATGAATCAAATAACATTAGATGCAACATGGAAGCAAAATAATAAGGTGAACAACATAGAAACCACTTTTACTAATAACCATTTTTATGCTAATTATATATTACTAAATAAAGTAAGAAGAAATAAAATTCATATAATTTCTATTTATCCATCATACCAATTAGTAATTATTCCCTATCATTGAACATATCTTTTTACTCATCTTTTAATAAATTTTATTCTCTAATAGATCATTTGGTAGCATTGTCTCTATTGCTAATAATAAATTCTTAAAAAAAAAAAAAAAAAAAAAAAAAAATCTTTAAATCACCATATAATTGGTGATCTTTAAAAGATATAATCACCACTCAATTGACATTTGGATGAAGTAAATAAATAAATACATTTAACAATTAAAATAGCTATGTACTACATCTAAGGTAAAAACAAACTCTATAATGAAATTGGCAGATTGATTTTTAATGCAAAATAGACTAATTTTATTTCTACCAACCAATGACAAGGTCCATCTAATAAATAAGAATTCCATCCATAGCATCAAAGACCATGAACATGTTGGTTAGAAGCACCCAAAACTAAATAAAACATTCAACATAATCTATACACCTTCATTTTCAAATGCATAGAAGTCCTTGTTATCTAACAAATGAAAAAAAAAAAAAAAAGTTCTGACTTAAAGTGAAAGGTTTGGAGACATATAATATTCTTCTCCCATACATACATACATAATCTGAGTACAAACGGAAAACTTACATTTTATTTTATTTGTTTTGTTTTATGTGTTTGCTAGGAATGATTATCTTATATTATAACTCACGCTTCAACACACGTATGACAGTATCGACTCAATACAAACTGAAAACTTAAACCATGAGGCGTTGTCCATGTTCTAGCTATATCTAGAACGTGGACTTTCCCAAAGAGGTCTATGCTCAAAGAACTGCACATAACAGCAATGGACCAGTGGTTTTTTCTTACCAAAGAGGGCTTTCACAAATAGGGATAGAAGGACTCTTTCATACCCTTAGTGTGGAGAATATTATGAAATGGCTTCTACCATAACAGAATTTCTCCTCATGAAAAAAATTAGTGTCTCTATTCACCTTTTTCCTTTTTTCCTGTCGGGCGTTCCATGAATCTGCGAGGTATATCCAAATTGTTTTCTTTGAAACTCTTCAAAAGCTTCACAGACAGCCTCCACCTACACGTCCAACGAATGATGCAGAGCTTGTGAGTGCCAACGCACAAGAAATAAGGTACTCAGAGAACAGCGTTCAGTTCAAATAATTCAGAACTAAATAAGTGTAGTTAAAATTTGACGATATTGTTGCAATCTGTAAAAGTCGTTTAAGACAATTTTGCACCTCATTGAATTTGAAAGCAATGAGGCTCTTAAGAACCAAAACTGACAACCTTTTCCCATAAAGAATAACAGGCTCAGACAAGCAACTGCAAGGAATTTTTTGAAAGAAGGGACACTTACATGTTCAGGGTTTTTAGCGTACACCCGAATGATTCGATCTTGAAAAGTTTCTGGAAGAATGTGGCTGATTTTGTCCTGCGGAATGAGGAACTTTTCTGTGCTCTCAAAGTCCTAATCAAGGAAACAAATACTCAAGAAGTAAAAAAAAATTGATCATATACCTCCTAAAACTGAGATCTTAAAGCTGCATGAACACGCGATTCATATCTCAATCTATAGCAATCATCATTTAGGTACTAAGTCTACCATACAGTTCTTACAGACACACAAATTACCTGGAAGAAGTGAACCCTGTAAAGTAATCGTCATCCAACCACACATAAAGAAACCACACAACTGTCAATAAATCACTACCTGGAAACTCTGTCAAGTGGCTCATTTTGACGTTACAAAGACTCGTAACAAGAGGAACACATCAAATTTTGCAGACATTCACTACATCTGTAAATAAATCATTTATTACAAGCGCTGAGATATTTAAAATTTGGCATTATATACTAGACATATTCATGAGTTCCAAGGTCCTTTAATGAAGACAATACAAAGAAATGAAGTGCAACGTGCCTGCTGCTCACAGGGTTCTCCGTGCCACGAGTGAAATCAATCCGTGTGGCATGGACAAGCACATCATCCTCGGTAAGATTTACTCCAGGTTTCGTCTGCACATGAATCGAATATGGATCTGACATACTTAATTTGGATCTTCGTAAATATAGCACCACAAGCACAGATTACTCATCATTCCATAATAGAGTAAACAATCCAGATATATTAAAACGTACAGCAAGGGAGCAGCAGCAGCCGTCCTCTATTCGCATGTCATGTTTCAGGGTGAATAACTCAAATAAAGAAATCGAGCCAGTAAATATCTCGTAAGAAGTCAGATTACATACTTGCTTCAAGAATTTCTTCAGTAAGCGTTTTCATTTTAACATAAAATATTCCACTCACCACTCTAGAACCAACAAGCAAAATGGACCAGAACTCACCTGGGAGCAGATAATATCCTGAGCAGTCACATCTTTGAAGTGCTCTAAATGTTCCTTCGGAACTGCATACTCATTGCAAAACTGACAACCAGTAGGGTAATTCAACGATTCACCAACCAGTCAGCGTACTAATGGTTCCTTGATTTGTCACTGTTGACAGCACAACGATGAAAAACGACAAAACTTACAAACACCACGCCAAACCACTGCTTAACAGTTTGAAGATCCAAGCATAAAAAAGCGTTTCAGTTTGTCAAGGCGCAGTGAGTAACCTCTGTATTCTGCATTTGCTATAAAAATTTGATGACATTATCTCTCAGTGATCTCATTAAATTGATGTACCTGATATAGTTGCCTCCGTCTCATTCGCAATACAATTTCACGGGCTTGTCGAAGTTCAGGCTGTTCCGCAGTTTCAATTGTCTTCAGTAAAGTGTCGTCCAACTGAAAACAACATGCACGCCCTTCGTGATGTCAAATGCAAGACACAGTATAATTTATCAGTCAATCGAGGCATACACATAAAATATCTTATTCACGCCAAGGTGAAGAAAGCATCTTAACAACTCCACTTTCAACCATTTGCCAGGCAAGTATGAAGTGATGAATGATGAATTAAGTTTCATGAGCTCAAGCCCGCCTTTCTGCTTCAAAAACCATTATGACAAAAAAACATGCAGCTAGGACGTGGATCGTGGGATGAACAGTTATAAACAATGTCAACAGATACATGTGAATGATAAACTGCTGCAAACACTGCTGGAAATTCCCTTGCTCATACCTTCCAGAACCTGGAAGGTCCTTCAACATAACTGGTCAATTTCAGGTAATCATTAGCCAGAAGCATGGCATCAACTATCATAAGTTCCAGAGCCTGCACCAGTGATCAAATTCCTCAAATGCGTTACCAAGTATATGCTGAATTATACAACTTCTTCATTTGACCAAAACCTTTGTGCTGGGAAACATAATATGAAGGTTGTTAAGCAATAAACACCCATGTGTAAATAACCGATAAAATGCTCGACGAAATAAGGAAGACCCACCTTTACTTTTGCGTGAGTATACACTGTCCGACACAAATCTGCCCTTGTTTGGAATAAGCGATACACCGTAAGGGCTGGTTCCACAAAAAACTCCAATTAGATTAAATTATAACAAGAGATAGAAATTTCCACCAAAAACAGAAACTGCCCACAAGATAACTTCAGATTAAGAGGTTTGTGATCCATCAATTGACGGGAAATCTTCAGCTATTACCTTCTTTTGCTCTAAAGCAGATTTCATCATCTATCACCTTCATACTCTCAACCAACCTGCAACCAATTTCATGTGTCAAATGAGGACGTTGTTAACAATTGAAGTATGAATGATTGGAAAAGGGGTTAACTATGACACGGTATTTACCAAGAGCTAAATCGCCCGAGCAAAAGAGGAGCAGGCGCAAGAGCAACAGTCACATTTGCCACAGCAAACGTTCTGTAAATGATTCTTACCTTCGGTAGTCAAAACTCCTGCCAAGGCCACAAGCTCTTGTGTCTCTTTCAATGTAGTCAAACCTGAATGAAAAAAGATAAAAGAAAAAAAAAAAACATGTAAATCAAGTATATCAACCATTAAAACAGACATTAGACCTCAGGAACTCCGAAAATAGGAATTTGTATACAGATGGCGGGTCACCCACTTGTCAACATCTATCCCGTTTCGTCCATTTGCTACAATATCAAAAAGAAATCTCTTGTCACCGTGTGCCTGCAAAATTGCAAGTTTTAATCAGAACGGCCATGCTTATCTTCTGCAAACATGAGGCAGTCTTAGGCTATCGAGTAGTACGGCAAATCGAGTTGCTTCAACACGTAAGACATCCAAATATACACTAAAATTAATGTAGGTTTGCCTTCACAGACAAAACCGTGATTCTTGAACCCACTATGATGACTAGGTTTGAGCTTCTCTCATACCAGTAGCCTACATTAGCGTTGCACACAAACAGAAATACACAGTCAATGATCGTAAGCCAAGACATCAGTAAACAGACCTTCAGGAGCAAACGCAACCAAGCCTACCTGAATTATAGAAGTCTTCGAGGCTGCAAGTATCATGGCCTGGACAACACGCACGAAAAGTCTTCAATACTTCAAAAATGGCCAACTCCATTCCTTATTGAAATATTATACCAACGTGCACCCCCTTCTCCTTCTCCTTCTCCTTCCTCATTCTTTCTCTTCCCGAAGTATTTTTCGTAGTAATAAATAAAAAGAAAAAATGGAATGAAAATTCAGATATGAAAAAACTAGAATATTTGAAACATAAAAATTTGCCCACCTTAACTCTCTTCAGATCGTTAACATCGATATCGATATGATGCAGGTCGGCAATATACTCTACCATATCTGCTGACATCTGCTCATGACTCCTGCAAAAGAATATGGATTACAGTATTCAAAATAGGACGGGAGAAATATATATAATTAAAAAAATTCTAATAAGAGGGAGGGGAAGAAGAAGAAGAAGAGGAAGACGATAACGAAGACGAGGACTGGGCTCTTCATTTACACAAAACTTTGTTAAGCGCACCACTTAAAATTGGGAAGTGCTCGGGGAAGAAACTCATTGTCGAAGACATGACTGAAAGGCCCATGACCGACATCATGAAGCAGCCCTGAGTGTCCAAACCCCAGTAAAAGACAGAAAATCGGTACAAAATGAAATGTCGTTAGATATCCATGTATGTCATATTCATGAAAAACTTGTGCGGACACGTTTGAAATCACTTCTTAATTTGAAATAAAAACTAAACTGCACTACCCCTTCGATGTACACAAAAATATAATGCAATATCAAAACAAGCTAAAAATGAATTTCTCTGTGATGATATCTTTAGTGAAATAAGTGACGAATTTCTCCATACCAATTTGAGCCACAAATCCTCTCATTAAAAAATACATTTGAGCATTTAAGCATCAGGTGAGAATTAAACGAATTCTTTAAGTGCTAACATACATGCCTATAAGTCAACATGGGACACGTACTCAACGTCAGCTCCTCCATAGATATATATATATAAAGCTGAACCGACTCAATAATGCAATTTCCGATCAAAAAACAGGTAAAAAGAATCCCTCAGACACACCTGCTAATTTGACAACCCTGAAATCAGCCGGCTCCAACTCCAATTCATCACCCTGAGAAACCAGAAATAAAAAAAAAAACCTTACTCCAGCTCTTCAAATATGCCATTCCAGACAGTCTGTTTATAAGAAAATGAAGGGTCTATAAAGTAAAATTTTCTAGGAAAAAGTAACCCTCACAACAAGTAAAATTTTCAAGAAGACACACTACTTCTTCCCCAACAACCATGTAATTGATCCCACTTACCTGTGTTTTCTTCAGATAGTCCATTACTTCACCCGCAACATGATATACTCCCAGCGAGTGCTCAAACCGAGAATGCATTGCTCCAGGATAAACATAGTGGCAAAGACCTAAGCAAAGTAAACTCGCAAACCCAAAATCATCACAATCTCTAAAGAAACATAATATATATATATATATATAGATACACACACCAGCCGAGACATATGCAACGGCATCTCAGAAACTAGACCTTGAGTGAAAATGATTACCTAATTGTTTCACGTCACGTAATCTGCATACCAAGCAAGAGAGGGTTAATGCTTAACTGTCCTCCGCATCAGCCCAAATCCTCAAGCAAGGTGCATAACTTAAAGACAGAAGCGAACTTAAAGAATTAGAAAAATTAAAGAAGAAGAAAGAGAAAGAGAAGAAGGGTTTAGGTCATAAGTTGCCACCTCTGAAATTGTTCGCTGTCCACAAATTTCATACTTAGCTGCAGCATTAAGATAAACATAATAAGGATTCACCAATCCGTAATTCAAATTCAATGCATCGACATGAAATCATAGATATTCAAGGGTACATTACTTCGAACTAAATTCACAGCATAAACTTTACGAAGCCTTTGTCCCTCGCACACACGAGGTATGTAAGGTGAATAACCGTGATGAACTAATAATGTCCTTCCTGTAATCAACTGGAGAAACATAGCCTCACGTACTACCCCAGTCTTAGACTAGAAAGCTCGTTCTCAACCATAATCACGATGACCGTAGGCAAGCCAGCCTGAGGAACATAAAGCTCTTCTTAAACCCGAAACCCAGAGCGTTGAGTTCCTTGCACGTCCAAATTATTGCTCGAAGTCTGCTAATTAACTGACAAAATATTACCGGGAAAATAAACAAGGAGCATGTTTACAATAATCACAAGAATCGGCATCTTCGGGTCAGCGAATTCCACTTCTCATGGAATTTCATCTAATCCCCGAAAGAATTCGAAGAGTACCATTCGGACTCAAACAAAATGATACCAGCTGAATGCATGAGGGTTTCAAATTCCCAATGTACAACAAAGACCAACGTGCCACGATCCATTCAACAAGTCTGAGCCTAACCACGCAGGATCCGAAACCGAAGTACAGTAACTGACTTCAACACGCACTAGGCCAAGCACAAATTGTAAAACACACTTACAGAGTCAATGTAGACATTCCGATGCACATTGTCATGGAAAAGTTTCTTGTGCTTTCGCCGGCAGTCCTGGGAGAAGCCCTCGCCCACGGACGCCACCATTTCTCAACCAGAAATCAAGAGTATACTACACTCTCCTATTCCAAACTCAAACAAACCTAGCCAACAACGCCGCACGAATACGAACAGAAACACAATTGCCGCCTAAGACATACAATTTCGCAAATTATCACCCCCTCACAAAGATCATTTCACTACCCAACTCCACTACCGTCCTCAAAAACCCGGAAGATCTCTTCACTTAGCTGTCCACCTCGTCTCTGCCTCCTCTGAACTGATTTGGTATGATAAAATTGAACGATGAATTCTCAGAGTGGGATAGCGAGGAGTCAGAATGAATTGGCTGCGTGAAGGCGTTGACAGACAGCATTGGATGAACGAACGGTTACAGTTGGAGCTTACTGGAGATTTAGGTCTTTCCACTCCCACCCTTTAGGCGAGGCATTCTATTTATGCAGCATCGGAAAGATGCAGTGTCATCCCAAGTGCGTGGAATATGCTCGTGCGGCGCCCTCTTCCGTGAAGTTAATGTGCTTGATACCCTGCCACGAACATGACTTCCATACCCGCAATCGCACTCAGCGAGTTACCCAAACTATTTGAGGTTAGTGATGTGTTCTGCAGGAATAATGAACGAAATTTGTTGCTCCAGAGAAATCATGAAAGAGGTGGCAGTTGGAGCACCTGCACCTGGCGACTCTGGCTTTCAACTCTCGAGAGTGTGGTCAGTGAATTCGCAGGGAGGGGGGGGGAGGGTTGGAATTCTGCATCGAGGAGATCCAAAGCATACGCCCTGCCCAAGCGCCTCGTGCAGAGCACAAGCATGGCCTTTTCAGTAGGGGCATCCGGATAAGGGGCAACGCAGAGTTGGGTACACATTGAGCAGAGTGGCAAGACACGGAGGAGCAGAGCAGGAGACTGGGCTGCACCGAACACCGTGCAGCATCGCTGGCTGAGCTCCTCCGACTGCTCTAATAATGCGTGCATGAACGAAGCTCTGTGTGTGTGTGTGTGTGTGTGTGTGCGTGCATCAAAGAGGGGCAGAGAGAGGCGCGGCAGGGGTTACACTCCCAGAGCAAGACACAGAGCTTGCTTGCACCACCGAACCAACGTGCAGGCCCTCCCTCCCACCCAGTGCAGTGGGCACCGGAGACCGTCGTCTCGCACTCATCCTCCTCCTCGTGCATTCGCCTCTGCATTGCGGCCATGCGCACCCACTGCCATGCATGCACAACAGTAACGCCATGCGCACAAACACACACACACATATAGAAATATATATATATATATATAAATACATACATATTGGTCGAGATATGCTGTTGTGTTTGTAGATGGATAGAGACAGAGAGATAGATAGACTGTGCGCCTGATGAAGTGTGCTGGCCCATGAACTTACTGCTCCTCCCCCTCAAGCCCCTCCAGCAAGTGTTCTTGTGTTATAGTGGCCCTCTTGAGATTTGAACTGGGCTAACACTATGTTGGAACATGTAATGTCCCTGTCCCTCCCTCCCTGTCAATAGCAGCTCTGCTATTGCTTTTGCCAATTTCATTGTCCTTTGGAATTCATGGAAAAATCTCTATTCAAAACTTGTCTTCCCTGACCTCTTTCTTGGCAAGCAAGAAATCATCCAAAGATTACAAGTAACTTGAATCTATAGATGATAATTTCAAGAAATATATTTATTTATAGAACCAAGTTTAAAGGTAATTCAACACATATTTAATAATTACTTTTTTAAAAGGTTATTCTTTTTTGCTTCTTTTTATTTATATTTTCATAGTATCATTTTAATTATAAAATTATCTAATAAAGTAAATAAAAAAATAAAGTAATATAATAAAATAATATAATAAAGTAATATAATAAAGTAATATAATAAAGTAATATAATAAAATAGGATAAAAAAATAAACAATAAAAGTAGAAAAGATAAAATAAAAAATTGATGTGATTCAATCTATTTATATTTTTTTACTCATTTGACCATATTTCAAAAATATTTTCATAAATAGAATAAAAATTTATCAAAAAATTATAAAATTAAGATCAAATGCATATTATGGATCCAAAAAAAACTTATAAAAATTTTCTATAATAATATTAATAAATATATTCATAGTATCTTATACATAAGACTAAGATACATCATAAAAAGAAATAAAACTTATCTTTTACTATTCTAAAGAAATTTTAAGCTAAATTACTTTTTTTTATTTTTCTATTATCTATCTACTCTTTTGATCATTTTTTTCCATCTACTAGTCTATGTAATATCTAAGTTGATTCTAGATATGTACTTGTAATTTATAGGATTCAAATATATTTAAGTTTCAATTAAAACTTGGACTCAATTATTTCGTGATTAATATCAAAGACTATTGTTCTCGTTGTATTCAAGCTTCAATAGACCAAAGCAATTGAACTAATAGAGCTGGGTTCGAACATGGGGAAAAACTAGTTATATGATTAGGTCTCTTAGTGTCACAATTGACTGTACTCTGGCTATCTAAAATCAATTATCAAACTACAAAACACCAAGGCTTACTACTACTGTCTTAATTCAACCCATAATCTATTCTACGACTATCAATTCAATAATACTTCCATATTCTTATCCGTTCATCTCCCACTTACTCTCTTTGTGGTTTAAATATATTCAATTACTGATCTCCAACTTATCTATTGTATTCAATTTTTCAATTCATCACACAGAATTATGACTCTCACAGTCTAGCACTCCAGACTAACATCTCAGTATTCAGAAACTATCCATTACTCATCAACAATAAAGAAACAAAAAGAGGTAGCACCAAGCTTGTCCCGGCTTACGACTATCATAGTCTGACCCTTGGCTTATGACTCTCACAGTCTGGCTCCGATCTCCCTTTCTTCAACCTCTTTATCCTACCAAAAGATGGACCGTTGACCAGCAGATTCCAAAGATTATGACCCTTTGAATTCTTAACTATTTATTCTACTAACAACTGCCTAACCATCAGTCTAATTCTTAAGGTTATTAATAACGAACCAGTAACTTACCACAAAGTTTATTTACCTATTCTACAAAGATATAAACGTAAAATATTAAAATAATAAAAAATATAAAAATACATAGTATTACATATGAAATAAGATTAGATATGTAGCTATAAACGAATATGTTTTTAGATTATTGTAAAATATATATTAGTAAGATTGAAGTAGCATTTGTCTTATTATTTATTTTATATATATATATATATATATATATATATATATATATATATCCAAAAGAGTGACAATAGATACAAAATCAATACCTTAACTTTGAGTACCTATATCTCTTTCATAAGAAGCCAAATCATCTAAAATTTGCACCAAAACTATTACCAAAACCTTAAACTCTTTGACCTTAGCCTTTTAAGTTCTAATGGCCTCAAAAGAGTAATTCTAATTCCTAATAAGAACTTGGATAGCCTCTTTGAAGTCTATTGGGCATGCTTTTTGGCCATTAGCAATAGAGATTTTTATCATCTATCTTCATTCATCCATATGGACATCCTTGTTTCTTATCTTTTTTTAAAAGTGAGAAAAATATCTCACTTTTATTATTATTTTTTAGAAGATTATTGATTATTTACCTTTAAATAAACTATTTAATTTTCTAACACCAAATTCTTTTTCTTTAAAGAGAGCAAATTGCTTCTCTATGTAAAAATTTTCATTTGATATTAGAGGTTGTAGACTATCTTCTTCTAATTTAACTTATAAATTTTTAAGTTATTTAAAATAGAAGAAAGAATCATAGATTCTATACTTTGTGGAAGCAAAAATATATTTACAACTATTACACATCTTCATGAACTTGTCAACACTCTTAGGGTAGAAATTTCATGCATTACAAGTGCAAACTACAAAAACACTAATCCTACGTCTATGGAAGAAGTTCAAAATCTACAACAAGAAGTTGTACAATTGAAGGAAGTAAATAAATCAACCTTATAACCAAATAAATCAACCTTACTACTAAATAAATCAACCTCACAACCAAATCTAAGAAATTTTGCTTCTATAAGTACGACATAGATATAGACTGATATGTCAAATAAATTTGATAGAATGAGATGAATATTTTGAAAATTTTTGTGACAGCTCAATCTCAATTTAAGATTGTATTCTTTTGAATATCTTGATGGATTTACTCAAGTTACATTCATAAATACACTTTTATCTAAAAGTGATCTCTCTTCGTTTGCATCTTTAATATAAAAAAAGATTTGTGACTCTTTTATGATTTGAATTCATTTCTAAAAGTGTTTGTAGCTATATTTAATAAAAGTAATTAAAAAAGAGTAGTAGAGACAAAATTATAATTTTTATGAAAAAAATAATAGTCAACAATTATATATGTTGTTGAATTCAAAAATATTGTTTGCAATGTAGACTAGAATGGAAAAGCCTTTATCAATCAATTACAATATTGATTGAAGAATAATATCAAAGATTTATTTTTAATGTCAAAGGCAAAATCTTTAGAATAATTTTTTAATTAAGCCATTGCATTCAACAATTGATTATTTAAAAGGCCTCAAAAATAAAGACTTAGTTAAAGTAAACAAGTCAAGTTATGACAATGTCGTATGGGATGATTTGCTATTTGGAAATATATAGGACATATAGTAGTAGAGAGTTCAATTTAAACTTATTGATTAAGCTCCAATAAGTTTTTTATTCCACCTTTAAGTTATATACAAAGTCTTGGCTCCTAAAACCTCTTCACTTTATATAAAATACCCATATTGTAGCAAAATCCTTCAAAACATACTTTTTTTGTAAAGGATTTTTTTTTTCAAATTTTAAAAATTCATATCTCTTGATCCAACCGTTCAATTTCTTTCAAATTTTTGTATAATATAGCACTTACTTTTAAGCTTTACTATAAAAATAATTAATTATAAATTCACTATCAATCTTTTGGCATTGTAGAAATCTTAACAGGTGCTTTGAATCTTAATCTACAAGTACTTGAAAACTATTTCTTTATATTTTAAAAATCCAAAATTAAAATACCATAAAATTTATGTATAAAGTTTAATAACATGATTATATATATATTTGAAAATTTTGAGCCAAAATTTCATCAAATTATTCACAATATAGCTCAAAATACAACCTTTAGTGAATCACGTTACTTACTATCATTAGATTTGAAGTGCTAACATCAACTTCTAATATCTCTTTTATCAAAACTTTAAATTCATCAAATAATATGCAATAAGTATAGTTAAAAAAGTGCTTTCTTCAACTCTAATTACTGATCCTTCATTTTTTTTTGAATGCGCATGTTATATCTAAAAGAGTGACAATAGGTACAAAATTGACACCTTAACTTTAAGCTTCTATATTTCTTTTATGAAAACTCCAAATCACACAAAATTTGTATTCGAACCAAACACAAAAACCTAAACTTGCTAATCTTTGCTTCTAAAGTTTGAATGTCTTCAAGAGAGTAATCCTAATATCTAATAAGGCTTCAATGACGTCCTTAAAATCCATTGGATATGATTTTTGACCAATAAAAATGGAAATTTTCATCATCCATCTCCATTCATCCATATAGATGTCTTAACTTCTCTTTTTGCTACCAAGACCTATTTCCAATCCTTTTTCAAGTAAGATTTACATAACATATGTCCTAAATATTAAATAAAAGAAAAAAAATAAGACTTTAAGGATCACCAATGTTTAACAAAGGTGACTTTAAATATGTAAAAATTACTATCAATCAATATTAATCTTAAAAGCTACTATAAAAAAAAATAACATTATATAAATTCTAATAGTAGTTCTTTTAAATAACCTTCTTTTAAAATAATAATCTAATTATATTCTATAACCAATTAAAATCCACTAACATGGTTCTTATCATATTACTTAGTAAATTATATATCAAACATATAAATATAATAATTTCACATGGTAGCTAAACTACAACATGACAATGACAATTTTCAAGTTTTCATAAACTTATTTATCAAAGCCAAAA